TTTACACTTATTGGCAATAGCAGTCATTTCCTTACACGTTTGCTCCAGTCAAAGGCTTTGGGGCTGGTTTAGGCAGATCTTTTTTATTTCCAAGTCACTCCTGAGAGAAATTTCGCCAGTTCTCACAGGGAAGTTAGGCAACATCATCTGCCTGGCCTGGAGGGCCACTGAAGCCCTGCCCCATCTGCATCGTCCCAGAGACACATGCACAGATACATTCTGATCCTGAAATAACTTGGCCCCACAATCAAGCTGGCTCATTGTTGGAGAAGTAGGTGTCTCTTCAAATATTAGATTGATTTTGTCAACTCAATCAATTTTCCAAGATCAAAAGCTGCACTATGAATAGCCAACTCCTAGCTTCAAGCCCACTCTTCATCCTTCCAACCCTACCACTAGATTCACACTGATTCACAGATTGTAAGGCAAAAGCCCGTAGACTGCAACGGTCCCACTCCTGCATTACACCCACAAATTCCATGGATCTGCATAATCTCTCAATCAAGAAAGGGAAATAAACTTGTGAAATCATACCAATAGACAATAACAATTCCATAGAGTCCTCCAGAGCAACAGTGTAATTGTGGAAATGACAAAGTTCTTAATGTATAACAAATTGGAGAACCTAAAGAAAACAAGCAAACATTTCTTCCCATTTTTTATTTAAAATTATGGTAATAAGCACTACTCTTTGTAACAGGATGCAACTGTTACTCTTTGCCAGGTTCTATAGGAATTTTGAAATGCCACATAATGTAAGGCAGGCACTGATATTACAGCCTTAGAGTAAAACAAACCTGTGGCCAAGATGTGCAGATGTGATTTAGTTTTGCACTGCTGTGTGTATTTGCAGAGTTGTTAAACAACATCCTGGCATGATTAAAAAAAAAAAAAAGTCTTATGAAATTGAAAACTCTGTTTTCTGAGTAGGTTTTTTTCCTGTAATCTCAGATTTAGTAATTCCAGGAAATTTTTTATTATACCAGCACACTGTAGTGGCCCTTCATGCAAGCAGTGAAAGCCACTCAGTTCCTCTGTGCTTAAAATGCTCTTACCTGTAAAACTATTTTGGTATGAAGAGTTTTGTGTTTTGTTTTTTTTTGTCTGTGAAATTAATTACTCAGTAACTACAGTTATATTAGTTCAGAAACTATATTGGTGCCACTGATTTTATTTCCCAACGGGAGTGATTATATAGTGGCAACTGGAACACTGTTGCAAAGACTTTCAAACCACATTAGATTTCTTTTAACAGTTCTTTACAATGCACATCACAAAGCACAATGTGATTCACTTGAGAATGAGTTAGCAAACAAACTTGATTTTAGGCACAAATTCTTTTCTTTACAAAAGTAGAAAAAAATCTCACTGTTTGCACATTCTTCAAATGCTGAAAATGTTCAGCTGAAAACGTCACCTGCTCACCCACAAAGCAACAGCTGGCAGAGACAGATAAGTACTGCAGATGCCCAGTAGTCAAGTGGAGTTCTGATCACAGCAAAATTCACTCAGACTGGAAAACTGTTCATTGATAGCGGAAACATTGCAGTCAGGGTAGCGGTGTAGGACCTTGGGGGAAACCAAGTGCGAATTAAGAAATGATGGCTATTTAAAACCACTCCCCGTGGTCTTTGCATTCCAGGAAGGGCATGAAATACATGCAGAGCTTAGCTCACTGTACATTAAGGCCTGGATCCTCTCTACTGCTGGAAGACTTGGTATCACAGCTCCTGTATTTTCTGTCCTTTGCCTGTGAAGTAGAAACCATGGCTTTACGTTAAGCACCTAGGCTCCGGTGTGTTGTTCCCAGGATTGACAGAGGAACCAAGTTTAGTTCTCACCTCAACAAAAAGCGATTCGAACTCCTGACTTTCAGAAGAGTCTCCTAACTGTGAGATAGTAGGAAGAAAACATTGAAGATTGATTTGGCAACTGAGGAAGGGAAAACATGGGCAAGTCTGATTGGGTACTCAGTCAGGAAAGGAGGAAAACCTGTCATTTTCCTGAGTCTTTCATGAGTACTTTGTGGACCTTCTACCTATATATGGCTGAGTAAGTATGCACAAGAAGGGAGAACGCATCCTTGTAGTCTCCCCAAAACAGGTATGGGCACCAGCCACCAGGCTCAAGTTTGTCTCTCACTTTCTTCACCCCATGAAACTCTAATCATCCTTTACAACATGGAGCAGCCCAGTAGGAAGAACTTAACCCGGCTCTGAGTATGTGTGTGTACCCTCCTGCAGTTCCTTCCACCCTAAATAATCTGTTTCTGAGTGAAAGTGTCAGTCTTGCTTCAGATTTCTCTCTGTTAACCCCAAAGTTCTCATAACTTACAGGAAAGTTATAGTGTGCTAGGTGGGAGGTGGCATCCTCCCCACAGCAAGGTTCAATCCAAAGTCTCTGACATCTTGGGGGGACATTTTACCTGACAAGAGGGCTAGTCAGCAGCAGAGAACAGCTGTTCCTGCCATCAGGATACGGCAGAAATGTGGCCACATTCCATTTCTTGTGTAGACACTGCAACTTGGAAGGGTGGGAAGCTCCCTTTGACACTTAACAGAGATCGAGAACGGAGGGGAAAAGGGAACAGAAGGACAGAAAGGCTTGTTGTGGGTTTCTGTCACTGAGCAAAATGAATTTATGGGCCTGACTCCATTTGGAAGCCAGTTACATGCCATGTCATTCCAACATAGCTCTGGAGAATGGATCAGTATTATTCTGGTTTTGGAAGAACTGAATGAGACAGCATTGCTCAGCTCAAGGTGCAGTGTCATTCTAGCTTAAGCTGCAGCCTGCTGAGATGAGGTAAGGAAGCTTGCAGCGATTCCTAGGAGGAAAAAAAAAAAAACACAGAACGTTTTCAGGGTTGATTTTAGAAGGTACTCTGGTTAGAGATCTCTGTGGCTGGCATTTTTTTTTTTTTTTTTCCTGAACTGCTATGTGCACTGTTGTGTGAAGAGTGGAACTGAGGTCGCTCCAAGTGGCATTGAATAGCCCAACACAGTGCCTTGGCAGTGAGTCATGGGCCAAGCTGTCATGGATTAAAGTATTGACACGGTAATGATTCAGTAAGAAATCTGGATTTATTAATAACTAGCAGCAATTTATCAATACAAAATAATTCAGAAATGTTGAAAGAAAAGCAACTTATTTACAGATTCTAAAATGACAAGATTCACAGTAACTTACTTAATGGTACCTTAGTTTATACATCTATACGTGCACATACACAAAACGTACAGAGACAAAAGTATTTGGATCCACTAGAATGAATACAAAATGTAAAACCAAACACACAGAAACAAAAGTATTTGGATCCAGTAGAATGAAGTACGTACCCACACACCAAGAAACAGAGAAAGAACAGGTGAAATAGAAGCTAGCTCAAAGAAAAATATCCCTCTTGAGTTTAGAGCAAATAATCACAATGCCTTGGCATTCCTCAACGGACAATAACTGAGACTCGAGCGGGTTGACTTCGCCCTGGCCTTTCGTCAGCTCTGGCAGCAGATGACACCTTAAGGGTTTTGGTCCCTGAGAGGCATCCCAGCTCAGGGGAGATACTGCTCACAGACCACTGCAATCCAGGAGAGCTCTAAGGCTCTCCCTTGTGGTCACCATTTCTAGGGTCCGAGATAATTGACTTTGCCAGATACCTTCTGGTGCCTTCCAGCAGTTGCACAAGAACGTGATGAATGTGCAACTCTGTTATTGTTCCCATTTGACCACATCCCAGGCACAGGTGTGCCAGGCCCTTAGGAGATGATGGGCCCTTATAACTGTTTGGGAGCAATGGGGAGGGGCAGGAGCCAAGCTCATTAAGGGGGCACCTTTTGGGGGGATGTGGGTGGAATAACACCTAGCACCAAGCAGCCCAACAAGGAGGGGCAGGGAGGGGTGAGAATTGCACCACCACACAAGTGCACCAGGAGCGAGCCAGCTGAGGAATAAACCTGTGGTGAGAGGCTCCCTGTACAGCAATGGTGCCATGCTGGTATTCCTCGGGACAGGCACTCGAGGGTCCTGGGACCCGGCGTGCTTTGAGGCTGCAAGGTCTGCAGCTGGATTGTCCTCAGCCAGGATAACGTGCTGCAAGTGGGATGCAGGAGAACGACGACGAAGTGTCCACTTGCAGTGAAGTGACTCAGTGCTGTGAGGAAAGCTGACTCAAGGCCGCTAGTATTTGGCAGATTATAATTTTTTCAATAGCTGCTAAGTATTAATATTTCCTAAACGATTGCAGTGTTTTCCCTTTCTTCCTCAAAACCACTCTGTAGCGTCAAGATGCTAGTGACCCACAAAAGGGAATGTAAGTTTGGCTTAGTTTTGTGAATGGGCTTCTGAGCAGCTGGTGCGGAAGGAAGCCCCTAGAAGTCAGAGCTATTTTCTGTTTATTTTTTTCCCTTCGCTCAGGCAGAAGGGTCACCTCCCCAGAGGCCAACCCAGCCTTGGGTGAAACAGGTGAGCATGGCCAGGCTGTGCCTCGAGCCCACCCCTCAAACAGAGATATTGCCAGGTGTCCCCCAAAGAGAACAGTGGGCATTTTGGGGAGCATCGCTGTCAAACTCCAGGCTCCAGGGAGTACTAGGTTTAAAATGACCATCATTTTCTGAGGTGGCAAGCGGCACGTTGTTACCTGCTGAAATTTGTTCTCCCGCTAATCTGGGGGGCTCCCACTCCACATTAAACTGATTTAACTTCAGCTTTTCACCCTACAGAGGTGAAACTTCCCTGCTGTAAAGAGCAACATGACACTTTTTGCCGCCAGCACTTCCTTGTGTTCTTGCGCCCCATGAACCAGCAACGCCCTTGTGCAGCACCACCGCACACCCCAGCTCCTCTCTGCCCCCCCAAGACACACCAAGACACAGCGGAGGTGGCCGCAAAGTCTGAAATCCCCTTTCCTAATGGGGAACCCCGGTTACCCAACACCCCGGAGCGGCCTCCCGCCGCTGCCCCCCGCCTTCCCCGGGATGGCGGGGAGGGGCCGCCCGGGGAAAGAGGCGGCGGGAAGCCGCGGCTCCTCTCTTTCGGTTTTTATTTGTAGTTTTTAAGAACCGTGATGAAGCCGCCGGCGTTGCTGCGGGGGCTCCCGTTTCTTGTGTCCTTGCTGGGTAAGTTGGGGGGGGCGTGGGGGGTGTGGCGGCAGCGGCGACCCCTTCCCCGCCTCCTGGCTCCCCCTCGCCGGTGTCGGGGCTGAGGGAGCGGCGGCAGCGTTAATGGCCGCGCTGTGGGGAAGGAGCGGGGCACCCCCGTCCCCATCCTTGTGCCGAGGCGGGGGGGCGGTGGCTTCGCCGTGGCGGTTCGGGTTTAGCAGCCGCGGTGGGTTCCTGGCCCTGGATTTTCGGTCCCTCTGAAGGGCAGAACCAGGTAGCTGCTCCACCACCCCCCCCGCTCCTTCCCCGGCACAGTGTCACAGTATCACCGAGCGGTGCGTTTAGGGTCTCCCTCTCTGTTCTTGGCACGGCGACGTGCTTGTGCTGCTGGTCTCAGATTCCTGTAAAGCGGCAAGTTACAGTAGGGAACGGGTGTGGGTTTTATGGTAGCCTCGCATGACTTTCCTGAGCAAGTGAAATGGTTCTGCACTGGGCGGGAGGCACCTCGGAAACAGGGGAGCCTTCGCGCTCCCAGCGCACCTTTGTCCCCAGTTCCTGAGGTCTCAAGGAATTTAAGAAACTAGCGTTTATTTTTAAAATATTTGTGTCATCCCTGTATATGGAAATGCTGTTTATTTTGTATTCTGTCCTACTTCTTGCTCAAGGAAGAATCATCAGAGTTCTCAATGGTTTTGCATTGTGGTGGTTTTTTTTTTTTTTTAAAGTAAACTATTAACTTTTGGTGAAATAGTAAACAAAGGCCTTCTTAATCCAAATTCCACCCGTGTGCCTGAGGAGCATAGCCCCATGCAAGGGCTATGGATATGAGAAGCATAAACAGAACTTGTGATTTTTTTTAATTGCAGACAGATGTATAAACTATATCATTGTCATCAGAGGTAGCTCCTATTGCTAGAAGGGCCAAGTGGCATGCCTTGCTTTATGTAGTTGTTATCATTCCTCTAAGGTATTTCTCGGTTACTTTTTTTGTTGCTTTGGAATTTCCTGGATGTTCCTAAAACAGGGCCTGTTGCATCCCCTTTAAAAAAGAAAGAACAGTCTCCTACTGTCTTTCCCGAAGGCTTTAAGAATCTTGTTCTGCTTGTGAGTGTTCAGAATAATCCCCTGAGATGTCCTCCAGTACTATGCCAGAAGTCTTCAGCTTGTTTGGTTTGACTAAGATTGTGAGGTCCAGCTCAGCAGCCAAGACTGTAAGAGAGCACTGGGACCGAGTGTGCGAGGAGGACCAGTGGAGAAGCCAGGACTCCGCATATCTCTGCAAGTCAGTCTGCTCTTGTTCAGCTTTAGACACAACTTTTTCATTTAACCTGCAGCACTTTTGCAGGCAGTTCTAAATAAGTGTTAGTAATACATGATAGAGTATCCTCTTGTAACTTTCTGTGTGTGAAGGCACTTTGTTACCTCACCTTACCTTACACAAGTTGGGATGCCGCTGCTACTCTGAGCATCTGAGTCCAAGCGCTGGGTGAGTGAACTAGAGCACCTAGAAGCATTCTGTGTCTGTAGTGAGGTTCATCTGGAAGCCAGGGAACTCCTTCAGTGTTCTGAGCATCAACTCATTTTTAAGAAGTATTCCTACCTTCTAGTTCTTGAGTATTTTGCTGAGTTCTTTAATGCCTCGTTTCCCAATCCGACTTCTTTTTCAAAAATCGAGTTAAGTGGAGAAAACCTGGTTCACCTAAGAGCAGAAGTTACCGTATACAATACTGAGCATGGGCTGACAGGAAAATGTTGTTAACAGCGCTCATGTTTTATTTCTGGCTTCTTCTGAAAGTGACAGACACAGAAACCAAGCTTACCTTAAATGTCACTTTTTGTTTCTTTCTCATTAGGCAGTTTAACAGGTTTGGGTCGGCTTTGTTTTAAAATTTCTTCCCTTTCTTTCTTATTGCACAAAAATTGTGCTCCTTTCTATGTGTTCGTTGCTCGTAAAAGTACCAGGAGTGCTCAGTGTTTTTTCCTGTGTCTTCCCACTCCATGAGAGGTGTCGTGGGCACTACATCATGAGGCATGAGGAAGAATGGGTGGAAATCTGGACTCCTAACAAAATTGGGTTGATTGTAGAGTGTACTTAGTTTGGTAGGCTGACTTGTGAATCTTCTGAATAAAGAGGAAGTTCTGAATTTCTCACAAAGGAAAAAAAATCTGCTGCCCCCTGCTTAAAAAAAAAAAAAAGTGCCATTGATATTTAACACTAAAGGATGAACACAGAGTGAAAAATAGGTTTTTTAGCTTAATGTGGTTAATGGTCTTAGTCCTTAGAAAGCCAGGGTCATCTCTGGCTTACATGCACAGACTGCTTTGATCTTGGGAGTTGACAGTGTGTTTCAAGTTTTTTGTCAAAAAACCAACCAAACAAAAAGATTTGATCGTGTATATGGATTTGTTTTTTGTTTTTTTTTTTTTAAATGATCCTCCTATGACTTTACAGTCTTATGAGACCATACTGGCTGTGTTCAGGGTGGTGTGGCTGTAGGCTCTCTGGGTGATACAGGGTTTGGAAGTGACATAGGTTGTTGTTTGGAGTATGTTGAAACTGGTGTTGCCAGAGGACAAGAATGGTTCCTCTCTGTCACCTGTTTGTGCCAACAGAACTGCAAAGATGATCTGGCTGAAAATGAATTTGATTGAAGGAAGGAAGTTGTTGAGACAGATGATTTTCTCAGTCCTGTTGATCATATAGCTACATAAAGGCTGTGCTGGGTCAGCATAGAAGTGCTATCTGGATGTTGGGAGTAAGTGGCCAGAGGATTTGAATTCCCAGATCTCCCCCTCCCTTGCCTCACACCGACATGTGCTGTCTTGGGCAGTCTAGATTTAGCTCATTGCGTTAATGGAAATGTAATTTGTCAAAAAAATCTGTAAGGTTAATGCCTGGTGTTGGCTCAGTCCAGGGAACAGGACCCTGAGACTGCCAAAAGGAGGGCAGAAGCAGCTGGAGGGGAGGGAGAGCGGGATGGCCCCCCACACCCAAACCCCATGAGTAGGTTCAGGTGTTTGCTTAATTGTCCTGAACTAATTAATTGTCCAGGGCAGGGGGCACAAGATTTTTACAATAGGAGTTCTGACATTGCAGCCTGCTCCTATGTGTGACCTGAAAAAAGGCCTTAGTGGTTATGTTCTTGACAGAAGAACTAACTGAATCTTGCCTCAAAGTACAGGCAGTAATAGTCTACTATATAAATCCTTCTGAAGCTGGACTTAAGTGATTAGGTTATCCAAAGTTTGTATATGCAGAGCATCTCGTAGTGTATCTACAGAACATACAAGTATGATTTTTATGTGCTCTCTTCCGACTGTTGCCCCATGTAGTTCCTCTCACAGCAAAAGATTTGGAAACCATGGTCCTGCAACAATCCCCCCTCTGTATGGTGAATTCCCTGGAGTACTGCTCTGTTAGTGGACTCTGACTTCCCCAGAATAGATGAAGTTTTCTTGCTCTAGAACTGCACATAAGAAAGTCTTGTAAGGCAGGGATCAGTCTTTCTTTGCTTCTTAGGGAATGTCTTGCACTTTCATAGAGTTTTATAGTAAGATGGGTTAAATCAGTGATCAGAATAAATGTGACTGAATAATTAATAACATCATAATACTGCTCAGAGGTAATTTCTGGGGTCTGAGGCTCAGGATGTAGAAGGACTATACAAAGCTAAAATCCTTGGGTTGTAAGGCTGCGTTATTATCTGAGTGGTAGGAATGGTGGAGGTGAACTCACATTTGTGCTAGCTAGGTAGTAAAAAGCAGTGTGACAAACTGCATGTAGTTTGCTTACCAGAAATGAAAACTCTACTTAATCCAGGGTGATGATGAGAGCTGCGGGTAGGTGAAGTGACCAATGTTAGCCACAATACCACAGTCCTTAAAAGTTAGAGATGTTATGCTAGCTAAAATGCTGGTAATTTTGTGAAGCTTTTTCCCTTGCAGCCTTTACTGTGGTCCTGGTGATACCATACACATCTTGGTGTGTGAACAGGCAGGCTTGCTAGTGATGGAATATTTTTGTTGATGTTTTTTAGTATGAAATTAATAGACTTACCTAGAACCTGTCTCTTATACACA